TTCCTCTGCTATCTTCCTTGTTTCCAAGGACCTTGGGGACCTGTCCTGGGAAGCAGGAGCACTTAGGAGATGAAGAGCTTTTTTACAGAACCAACTGGTTTGGGTTGCTGTTTTTCTGTCACTTGTGGCAGTCTGGCTGTGTTCAATAAACTAAATCGGCTGCTAAGAAATGGTTCTGTCTATTCAATACTTGAAAAACAAGCTGCTGCCAATTGGTTTGGGTTTGCTTTATTCAGAGTTTGCATCCTTTTCTGCAGCCCCGGAAGCGAAGCACAAGGTGTTACCAGGCAGAAACTAGTGGGGAAGCTGGTCAGTGAATTTAAAGAAGAAAAAGGTGTGTGTGTGGGGGGGGGGAATAGGTTACAAAACCCTCTGGTGTCTGGTGGATTTTTTCACTTAGGTATTTCAGCCTAATGTGCTTTTAGTGGAAAGGTTCCAAAACGTACAACCAGGAAAAAAAAAAGGCGGGGGGGGGGAATTCCCATGCAAAATAACTAGAGGTAAATTCAGTGTTTTTCCACTCCAGTGACCACAACCTTTGCTTTTATTCTGGTGCAAACAGCTGCAGGTGCCTCAAGTCAGGCAGTTCTATCTCTCTGCAATGTCATCCATGTTTACTTGCAGCACTGGACTTTCGATTCTGTCAGGATGCCAATCCAACGGGCCGCCAGGCACTGCAGCTGACAGTCAAATCTGTAATGCTGAATCCTTCTTCTGGAAAAAAGGGCTAAAGAGGTTAATACACTCAAGTAAGGATAAACACACCAGCTGTTATAGTTTCTAATATTTAATGTCATTATCAAATAAAATAACTCCTAAGAAAGAAAAAATACGCAGCCTCCAAATCACCCATTTTTGTCAGTATTAATAAATTATCCGAAAAGCCTACACTATAAAATAATAAGAGAGAGCCTACAATTAAAGTCGTATTTGCTCTTCTGCTCTGCTGATGTTGCTCTGGGCTGATTCTGTTACCTTTTGGTGTTTCACCAATACCGGTATCATGTGCTGCACAGTATCCATAAGAATAATCAGGGGTGGATTATTGGAATGTTAAAGGAGTATAATTGTTTTCTTTCTCATTTTGAAGGTGCTTGTTGAAAGATTTTATTTACCTCAATAGACTTATTCAGAGATTTCATTACTCTTACAAAAATCTGCTTAGGATCAAAAGAATGGTAAGTCTTGAAACAATGAGAGCACTTCTCTGTGTGTTTGTGTGTGAAACCTCAAAGGACACCCTCCAGAAGTCATTATAGGGGCTAAATACTTTTTAGAGTCAGGAAGTGAATATGTTTTCCTCCCATCATTACAGCTACAGCTTCTACTGCTGTTTGTCAGTGTGGATTAAGCAGGGGATAACTTGAACACGTTCAGAGAGGTTGAGAAATACACACAAGCACACAATGGAAGAGTCTTCACAGCCTGCAAAACAGCCTGCAATGAGCTCGGCTTCTAGTTTATGATCTATGTTATAGCAAGACACACTCAGTGCCTTGTACTTAAAGGTCTATGACCAATTCCATAAAAATCCTGGAATTTTAGGATTTATTACTCAGCCACTTCCAATTGCATCAGGGTGAAGCTTGCCAATCCAGCTGCCCTTATATTTTAGTTTTACAAGATTTGATGGAAATGCAGTTCTTTGGTTGTTGCTTAACTGTGGGCAAAGACATAGAGCTGGTAGGGACTTTGGGGTATGACTTTGTCAGTAAAGCCAGTGCCTCTGCTCAGCGAGGAGTCACTGCTCTCACCAGCCACTCTGGGGCACAAAAGGAGATATTTACCCTCGTTGTGTACCTCTCCAAACCCATCTTAAGTGTGACTAATATTCTTTTCCTGGCCTTCTCTATACAGGTGCATTTATTTCCTGCACTGTGCTTTTTAGCAATGTATGAATTATGGAAGAATAGGGTGTTGTGGGTTTTTTTTCCTACCAGTGTAATACCAGGTGTAAGGCAGAGCTGGCTGAACCACGGAAACTCCTCCTCGTGAAAAAAAAGGAGTTTAGAAATTATCCTTCTCTTTTCTCATCACAAAGTGTGAGATTTTTAATTTTGCTTTTAAAACTTTAGTTTTTATTTTCTGCTGGGAAATACTTCCCAGGAAAAAAACAACAAAACAAACCCCCCAAAAAGCAAACCACGAAAGACAAACCAACCAAAAAACCCTGAAACAACCCCCAGAATCACAAACTGGAATTTCTTGGGGCTTGCCAGCTGCCTGCCGAAAAGGGAGAGCGGCAGGAGCCTCTTCGGCAGGCTGCTGCAGGCTGGCCACCCCGGTCCTGCTTCTCCTCCTCCTCCTCCTCCTCCTCCTCCTCGCCTTCCCCCTAGCCTGACTGCTGGGGAGGCAGCTGGGCTGCAGGGCCGGCAGAGCGCCAGGGCACTCAACCTCCCCTCCTCCCTCTTCCAGACCTGCTGCATCTCCCCAGCTGCCTGCCTGGAAGACTATTGTCAATTTTGCTCTCTCCCTGCAGACGACAACAAAATCGACAGGGCCCTTCCAGCCAAAGCAGCCACGGAGCCATCCGTTTGATTTTTTCCTAATAGGAAATCAGAAATTTCTGGCAAAATTGAAATTTGCCCATAAAAGAAATCCTGGTTTCATAAAAGGCATATTTCTCTTCCCCCATCACCCTACACCCCCCCAAAGTCATTCCAACAGAACATTCCCAGCTGCTGTAGTTTGAGAGACCTTTGAATTAAAGTCTATAGAAAAAAGCCACTCGTGAGCCTGGCTGTGAAATAAGGGCGGGTGAATGGAGTCAAATGCAAATAGAGAACCGATGCGCAGGGTCCCACCACCTCAGGCTGAAGCCCAGGGTATTTACATGACCTTAAAGGAGCTATAGGGGATCGTACCTTTACTATGAAGTACTAGAGATGATAATTAAGACTTACATAGCAAGGTTATGTCTCTTTTGAATAAATTACACAGGTCTGAACTCTCCTGAGAATAATTCCCAGCTTGGAATTACTACCAAACTGGTTCAGAAAAGTATTCAGGCTTTTGTGGCCTCATCAAAATAGAAACCTTTTCAGCAGCGGCACATCAGACACTGCGAGGGAGAGGGGAAAAAGTGGGATTTCACTCAGCGTAGCGCGGCAAAGTCACCTTTGTCTCTGTTTCATATGCATGCTGTTGGGGGCCATTCTCCTGGTGGTAAAATGATCCGTAGCTTCTGCCTGTATCATCCATGTCCATGGATTTTGGAAGAGAGAGGCCCCAGTGCCACGGATGTCGGGGAGCCTTGGTGCATGACCTGAGCACACTTTCCGACGGGGTGTGAGATGAAAAGGTGCAGGTGGCCATGACCGGTGTCCTGTGCTGTCTCCCAGTCTGTGCTGAGCACATCGCCCTTCCTTCCAGATGCAGGAGTACAGATTTGACTTGGAAACACCTCTGATTTTATGGTTCTCACCTTGGTTGGGTCAAATACCAGCTCCTGCTTTCTGGAGGAGCGGGGGGACCTGTGCCGGAGGATCCAGGTTGCCAGCACCTGAATAGGGTGGTAGAAGCAGTTGTGAAAATACTTCCTTGTGATCCGACACTACCTTTTCCCAGTGACCTTGTAGCAGCAGTGAGAAGCAGACAGCAGTCTCCACTCGAGCAAACCTCCCACTGAAGTCATCTGGAGCTTCATCTGAACAAGAGCCGTAAGAGGGTCAAATGTAGGAGTGCGAGGCCTTGTGCAGGCTCTTTGCAGCAGGTGAGTTTCTCTCCATCGGATGCCGCTTGTCATGGAACAACGCAGGAGCCTTTTACACGGTCTGGAAATGTTTTTGCAAGTGAAACACCATTAAACAATCCAAACCCAACACAAAACAGGTTTATTGGATGATCACATGTGAATAAAAACGGTCAAACCCAGAGCAAACCCATGGAGCTGCGGCGAGGTGAACCCCCCCATGCGTGGCTCCCGGCAGGCAGAACGCTTTGCCTTAGGGCTGCAGGATCAGCCCCCCATGGTGCCCACACATTGTTCCTCCTCTGGTATTGATTATACCCAGCCTGAGACACTTGTAACAGGGAGGCGCAGCAGGGCGGGTGGAGGGATGGAGTGGCAGCTTTCTTTGGGAGCACGCTAGCCTTTGCACATATAAACCAAGCCCTTTACTCACGTGTAAATATTTGCAATTCCTTCTGGCTAGTTTTGCTTTCAAATGTTCATTAAAACTTTTCTCCCCTTTATTTTATTCATCTAGATCAGCCTTTGGCCAAGATCTCTCATAAAGTGCTGAAATTTGCCCTTGAGGCATCAGATGGAGTAGTCAGATTGTCAAATAAGTCTCCTAATTGAAGTTAACGCTGGCACAATATTTATCTTTTGAAAATAAACATTGCCAGCAAAGTTGCGGGTCCACCACTCTGTGTGCGCTCTGACAGTGCTGGGGAGCCGTGGACAATAGAGCAAAAGGGGGAATTTGATGTGAGGACTAGCTTAGAACCGAGTCTGTTAGCATATTGTTTCAGTGAAACGCCAAACCTGCTAGAGTTTATCAAAACAAAACCAGCAATAGCTGCTTTTTGTTTTGAAGTCACACGATAGCAGGTACAAGGAAGAAATACATGTTCTCTTTAAGCAATGTATTTGCATTTTTATATCTTAAAGGGTCAGAAACAGACATGGGAAATCAATAGCTCTCCTTGCACTGCATGAAATTAATCAGTAACTTTGGAGACACGGCATTGAAGAAAACAAACTGAATGAACAGCACATGGCTCTTACAGGCATCCTCGTGTGACGTTCCTGGTGGGTTTGGGGTGATAAAGGACTGAGTATTTTCCAGCACAGTGCCTGCAAGAAAACCAGAAGCAGAGCACAAGGCAAAGCACCATCTGACAATGCCCACTCCAAGATGAATTGGGAAGTGTGTGTTAGTGCAGCCGTAAGAAACCTGATAGCATATTGTGCCTATTAACCATCTGTGAGGGAAAAGGTCATAGACCTGGGTTTTGCCACTCACCTGGAGTGCCGTCTTACCTGGCTATCACAAATCTGACAGCTGCCTTCAGCAAAGTGCTTAAAATCACTGCTCCTGAAACACATGCCCAGCTTGAGTGGAAACGGGACACGTGCTTTTGGGATGTGCTGAGACTTCTGTGGGCCGCTCCAGTGACCAGACTGGACCGCTTCAGGTACCAAGTGATGTGTAAATGTAGCAGAACGTGCCACGTAGTAAAACCTCTGCTGCCTGGGCTTCCCTTTTTCCTGTTCATACAATTTACAGCTAAAATGCTGGGAGCTATTTGCTGTGTGCTGTTATTTTGAATAAGAATCTTCCAGGAACAGTTCGTCATAAATGCAGAAACCATGCTCCATAATAACTGGTTAGGTACGCCACCTGATCCTCTCCAAGCTCCCGAGCTATTTGGTTTTATGTAACAAATCCAGAAGTGATATAGGGGTGCGCAGCGTTTGCTATTCAGGTTCACATGACTGGCAGGTCTCCAAAATCACAGTAAGTGATAATTCAGATACCTGAGCTGAAAATTCTACTTCATTGACAGTGAGAGGGCTATTAGACAAACTGAAGCCATTAACAACAGGTGATCAGACAACCAGCTGCCATCAGGCTGTGTTCTGTCTAGGAAGCTCCCTGGGTACTCTGCCTGCATCTCCTTAGGCCCTGTGCTAGGCAATACCATTCCCAACCTGAGCTAATCCAAATGGTCTAAGACTGCAAGTGAAACAGCTTGATTTAAAATGACTGTATACAACAACTGTAATCGTGAATCATTCATGGTGGTGGTGGGGTGTCCTTGGTGCATCTCCTGCTGCCCAGAGGGTGCAGCTGCTCCATGTCCTAATGGTTTCAACCCAGTCCAACACAGAGCTGCTCCAAAGATGCCATTGACAATCCATGTGCATACAGGGCCTGAAAGGGCTCCAGGCAAGCCTGGGCTACAGTGGGGGAGAGTAGGAAGGTGATGTAAAGTTGTCTGTGTCCGTCAGTCTCCCCAGTCAAAGAACCCCTGAGAACTGAGTGCTCTTGCACATGCTACAGTAAGGACAGAGCGCTCGCAATGAGGATGAGTGACTCTGAGCCACGTGAAGGCCTGGGAGCTTCAGTTTAAAGCACTAAAACCCTAATGGGGCTCCCACTGCTAAACGAAACCTGCTGACTTTGAGGTGAGCAGAATGAGGCTTTTGTATCGACGTAATACAAAACAGGGATTGCCTGATGGGAAGTGAAGACTCACTGATAGCACAGGAGCAATAAAGAGCTGATCCTACTTCCATTAACTTTATTGGGAGTAGAACCAAAATATTTAAGTGGAGATTGGCATATCACATCTATCTAATCTAAAGTATCTCAGGATTTATGTTATGATATCAGCCCTGAGACAGACAGATGAAATAGTACTCCTACTATATTTAATTTATAATCTTCATCTCACTAAACTTGCACCTACCTATGGTCCCCATTACCAAAGTAGCTGAGTGGCTGCCAAGTATTTAGACATATAAATAAAATAGCAGAGACTATTTTGTTCTCTGCCTTCCTGCTTTTCCTGTAGTTTGTAAGATGCCCTGCAAGGTTTGCTCTTGTTCTGCTTAAGGTTTTGTGCGTAAGTGGATGGAACCAGAAATCTTTGGGTTGGTTTTAAACTTCTGGGGGAAAACAGATATGCCACAAAAGAGGTGCACATTTATTTCTGAATATATTGAGAGCAATTGCTATCAGAAGGGTAAGAGCAAGTAGTAGAATCTAGCTTCAGGAGCTGTGAGAATTTCATTGCATAAGCTCACAAACTTCCCCTGTTGGTTCACAGTCCAGACTGTTCTCACCAAAAGCCATGGGAGGTCATGCGGGTGGAAGGAGATACCTCAGTAAGCAAAGTCCAATACCCTGGACGGCTTTGACTATTAAGACAGACATTTGAGGCACACCAAAGGAACTTGTGTTACTGAGTAAATGGGATGCTGCGTTTGGAAGTTTCCAGAGCTTTCACAGGGCTCGTGCCTTCATTCCTAGATGTGATAAACAGCCATGGCAGAACTCCAAAGTCAAACAGTGCAGAGGTGTCCAGTCCATGTCTCCTGGAGGCGGCTGTGTACTTTTGACTGTCAGCTACAGACAGAAAGTTGATCACCAAGGACTGAGTAAAGATGTGCACTTCCCCTCTTTATAACAACATCCCTCCAGCCCTGAGCAGGCAGTGCTGCAGTGACCAGCTCTTCAGAGAGGTGCTCTCAGAGCACGTGGTGGTGGCTGTGGCTGGAACAAGACATCCAGTACCAAAGTTACCACTTCTTTGGGCCATGCTCTCAGCCTAGTTCTCACCGCGGTCCACGTTCATCATGCGGTGATCAGCAGCTGCATCTTGGGAGGGTTCAAGATGGAGCAACAGATGCTCTGAGACTGGTCCAAAGGGAGGAACACAAGACATTTCCAAGTGAGTCCTCCAAAGCTGGACAGAACTATATTTTCTCTTTTGTATTTCTGGCTGCTGCTAAGCTCATGAATCTCTGCCAGTGGATAAGCAGATAGCCCTGGACCCTTTTCATAATTGTTTCTGGATATATCCTTCCTCAATCTTATTCTACACAAAACTTCTTGAATAGCTCATTTAAGGAGAAAACACTTGAAAAGTATATTAGCAAACTCTTTCAGTGGGGTAAAACCATCAACATGGAAAATTCAAGTTTTCAAGAGAGCCATTAAGCGTGATTAAACCTTTAAAAAGGGAGAACAATGAACGCAGCCTTGTATTTAGCAATTTCATATCTTTAATTGTACAAAGATTTTCTTTAAAAGCACAAGCCTGAAAGGAAGCTGAATGTTACAGTATTTACTGAAGGAAAGCAATGAGAGAAGGCCTGTTCACTAGCTAATGGAGTGAAGCCCAGAAATAATGACAAAAAAGCGGTAACGACTGCTCTCCAACACAACATATATAAAAGAGGGAGCCATAAAAAGGCAACAATTCTTGACTTAGCTTTGAGTTTCACAATGACTGTGATTACAGATAGCAAGTCGAAGACCATATAAGCCACGATGAAATCTAGTTGGCTTTGCGATTGAGATTCAAATGAAAAAAACAAAAAAGCAACAGGGATGTTGAATCTGGGCAGCACAAATTTTGGATGAGGTATGAGAAATGGAAAGAAAGGAAGAAAGAGAAAGACCATCAAAAAGTTCAGCAGGAAATGAATATATGCTTGCTAGTTCCACCTAATAATAAACACAGCAGGGGCCAGATCCTTAACTGAATTGAACTGGTAATGCTGGTGGTTCAGCTAGTTCGCTGTTCCTGAGGATGTGAATATCACACAGTCACACACAGCCCAGAGTACTTTAGCCTGTGCCATGTCGCAGCATCTTTCACACACAGAGAAAACTTTGCCTATCGGGAGCTAGAATAAAAAAGAAAAAGGGAGGCTAAAGTAAAACTGATTAAAGCATACAATAATTATCTTTCTGATACATTTAATGCTAGTTTAATTATTAGTGCTACTTTAAAGAGAAATTATTTTGACACGTTTTAAGGACCTGCGTTAATTACCAGCTTTATTTTTCTTGATCAGTACTTTTAAAGAGCAGCGTTAAGATCTGATCTGCAGTTTCATGTGTACATGGCTTTCTTCATAAATGTAATGCTAAGAATATATATGCATGTACTTTTCCATGACAGAGGTATGTTATCTACCTCAGTTACAGCCTTAGGCACACTTTAAATTTCAGTGGGCAGCTTTCTATAGTGCTTTTAATAAATATTTTCCTTTATATTTCTATAATACCTTGAAAGTGCAACTTTTATTCAATCATTTCTTTAGAAAACAACAAAACCAAAGTTTTTAATACCTGTGGTTCTAGAGAAATAATAATTAAAAAAACCTAAACAAAACAAAAACCAACCCTGAAACTTAAAGATACAAAGTCCAGAAGACAAATGGAAAGAAAAAAAAGTACAGAAATTGTGTAAGTATAGAAACTGCAAAAGTATAGAAACGGCATAAGTATAGAAACTGCAACCTGATGGCTAGTGGCAGGAGAGCATCAGTCCAGTATTGGTGGTCCTGGGCAGGGGCATGTAATATATGGCATGCTACAAACCTAGCAAACTCCCAGGGAGGAGGATGACTGAGGTTTAATGCTCTCAGATGGAAAGATTGAGCATAACCGTATTAGCTCTGTGAGGAGTTCACCTAAACAACTGTATTGCACTTACACAGAGTAATATAAACTGCAAGCCTGTTGTTTAAATTCATGACTACTTGCATGAGCAATGAAATAAAACCAAGGAGTTGAGGAGGAACGGGGGGTAATGTACAAGTGGCAGCGTGCTGGTGGACAGAAGGACAATGAAAATGGGTACCATTTCAAAGACTACAAAATCCGGTTGGGAGTGTGTGACAAACATATGAGAAACTCTAATGCATACCATGGAACTAGCTGATTGCTGATGATGGCCATATGGGATATGTCTGATAGAGATGATCAGTGTAAAGGATCAGATGAAAATGCTGTTACAGAGCAGACAGAATTGCAGACTCATCCACTGAATATTTTCCTTTGGAAGAAAGACAACCTGGTGGACAAAGACAGATACAATCCCTTCTTCAGGTGTGTACTGAATATGAAGAGTGGTTTGTGAGCAGGATTGATAGCTTGCTGGTAGATCTGTTGGCTTAACGTGTTACCTGTCTCTCTGCAAAATCTTGCCTTATATCATGATAACGCTCATTAGAGCATCAGGACTGTAGTAATAATGTTAATCCTCTTTGCAGTAGTGAAATGATGGAACATATATACCCTTTAGACTAGTCTGGGTTATCCTGGGATATCCCAGCTCTCTCTGGACCAGTGTATAACTCAATGCAAAACAACCTGCTTAAACCGTGGAAGAAAGCTTTAGACCTGCTCCAGTATCGGGCATAATCCCTCTCTCAGTATGGGGCTGGACTAGAGACTTCCTGAGGTCCCCACCAACCAGCTTTTCTGTGCCTTGGTCATGATATCCCATCTCCAGTTAGGAGGGTGTTAGACAGGCACACACTCTTCAATGGTTGCCATCTACCCCATTGGTGATTTGATATTTCCTTTGCTTTGATTGTGTAAATAAGTTAAACAGAGATGATCCTGCAAAGATTATCTTGTTTTTTTTTGGCATGGTAAATGGACAACAAGCACTGAGACCAGAAAATCCCAGTACTGAATTAGAGCAGGTGCCTGAAGCTGGGGGATCCTTGCTTTGGGAGATGCCCCCCCCCCCCCCCCGGCACTGAGACTTACCAAGTGGGCATAGCTGTTAGAAGAGTCCAGCTTTGGCTATTAATTTTGTAACACTTACTTACATTTTCAATTAAAAAGATGGTTCAAGCCTAGATTGAGGACTCCTGATACCTCTGAAAATAACAGCCAAAGTTGAGCCATACTTCTGATTAGAAGCACTGCTAACTGTTGTAAAACAATGTACTGATACTTCCTGTAGGCACACTAGCTCTGGAAAATGTTGACTGGAAGCATCATTGCAAAGCTCTTGCCTCACAAATAAAGAAGAGGACACCCCCTGTAATTTAGATTTTGCAGCCTGCCATCAATTAAGTTGTATGAAAATCACTAGTCTGAATAGAGTGCTTGTGTGGGAAAGGTGAATGAAAATGCTTACAATGCACTACGTACGCTGAGGTTTTCTAATCAAGAAACAGTGCAAATACAGAGTTCCACTGTCTAAAATAAAAGCAAACTAAACCTGATTTCTCTGTGCCACAGTCCTCAACAATGGTAATCACATGCACTTAAGCAGGGTGATATTTTGTGATGACAGTGAAAAAATTACATCCTTACATAAATGAAATTATTGATTTGTGAATGCTACATCCTTGACACTCCCAGGACTGTGCCCTTTTTTTCTCCCAATGAAACACTTAGGCAATTATTCTTTATGCTTAAGGGAGGAACGCCTGGGTGTACAATGGTTTCTGCATTAGTGAAGTTGCCGTGATATCGTTTGCTGTTTGCCTCTACTAACTTGTGGTGACCAGAAGCCATTATATCCAACAGATACAATGGCAACCAGGAACATTACTCTCACAATACTGAAGAATGCAAATGCATTATCTCATGACCTCCAAGGATATGGTATGTGGCACTGCTGTTCAAAAAGTTTTGAAACTGGTTTGCGATGTGTTTATGTCTACTTGCTCATAGACAATTACTCCTGTAACTCGTTTTGTTTTGACCTCCGAGGGGAATGAGTGGCTCACATACATGATCCTTAAAAACACGTTCATATCAGGAGCAGGAGGGCTCGGAGGGAGCAGGTGGAGGAAGCATAAGAGAAATGAGCTATTGTGGGTCGGGAGTGAAATAAAAGCTTGGTCACATGGGAAAACAGCAAACAAGGCAGCAAAGCTGTTGAAGAGATTTTTTAGCTCCCCAAGGGACAATAATAGTTAAACAAAGGTGATTGAAAAAGCGCACCCCAGACCTCCACTAGCCGTTCACCAGTGGTGGTCCATCGTATCTTGTCCTTGTGCAAGCTGAGCCTCTCTGGCTCAAGGAAGGTGCCTTTGCTTAAACTAAGCCTGAATTTGGCTCAGCAAAGCAAGGAGAGAGGTGTACTACTGGAAGAGCACAGCGAGAAGCCCACACTGAAAGACAGGAACTGCCAGGGTGAAAAATATCCTGGATGGATTTGGCCACCAAGATCATAAATGGTAACTGTGCCCTGTGTCTACCACATGGGTGTGAGTGACCATGACTGAAACCTAGATCAAGATGACATTTGCATCATTTTTTATTTCTTTTGGTTTTCTCCTCATTATCTTATTGTAATGAAATGGTAAAACCATCTCCATACCATAATTGTGCCTTTCTTATATCAGCAAGTTGGCAAACAAATTTGACCTTCAGCCTTTGTTCTATTGTTAGTGTTTTTAGGGCCACTGGAGCCCACAGTTTCCTAGCTTTGCTTTATAATGCATGATTTAGAATAAAGCATTCCCAGCTTTTTTTCACCTTCATTTTGCTCTCACACACACATATACAGACATGATTCCATTTCTGCTGGATCCTTCTGCTTTCTACTGGTTCCTTCTCCTGGATCTTTTATCCAAGCAAGTTTTAAAGACCCCAAATGAAATGCTGTTTCAACATTATCACTGCCAACAGCAGCACAGAAAAATTCAACAGGTTGCTGCTTTCTAAGAAAATGCAACCAAAATTTGAGCTTTCTTACTTATTGCCTATTTGTATTCTCTGATATCTCATTGATCCCAAATCCAAAGCGCATCTTTGGCTGCCTATGGAATACTCTGGGACGACCAGTTGCCACGCAAGAAGTTGCTCTCTGCCTCCTGATTTCCCTGATGCTCTGGAGCAGGATAAATCCTGTCATGTGGACACCTGGAACAGCACATGCTGCTGGAGGGCACAGCAGAAACTCCATCAGCACAAGGGCAAAGGCGCTACAGCATCTCTGGTGCAGCACCTCTTCATAATCTCTCTGCACTGGGAGAAGTACGGCATCCTGGCATTCAGGGAGTGGGGAGAAACAAACATCTCCCATTCCCTCGCTCCTTTGAGGAAGCATATGAGGAAGGGACCCATTTTCTGGCTGCAGAAAAGGAGCAGCTCATAGGACCAAGGGCCTGGTGGAAAGTTAGCGCACATTTCTGCGAGCAACTGACAGAAAGGGAGTGCAAAAAAGAAAATGACATGGATTAGATCAAATGAAATCCCAATGGAAGTTCAGAGAAGTGCATCAGGCCCTCAATCCATGCTTTCTTGAATTGCCTACTGAAGTGCCAGCTACGGGGACCATTAGAAATGCCTACAGAGGAAGGCAGAAATGAGTATGTCCATAATGACACATACATCTAAAAATAGACTCAAATACTGTGAGGTCCTCTGTTGGATAGTTTCTAAATCACAGGTAACAGGAGCCACACAAGTGCACGAGCAGCCTGAGGAAGGTGGCTCCTTCGAGGCTCTTCAGGAACCCTGTCCCACGTTCAGAAAAACTACCATTGCACAAGGCTATTAGGGGCTGGGCTGTTTCACTGGGGCTAAGAAGTACTGCCAGTCAGTGTGCTTTTGGCTTAGGAAGGTATTACTAGAAAACTAGCCTTTAAGAAGGGGAACAAGCTTCTGCAAAATGACTGCCATCATGGAAACATTCTATTTCTTGCGACAACTCCCATGATACTTACCCTGCACAGAGGAGGATTAAAATATTGGGGAAAAACATTGCGAGAAACAGAAAACAGAAGCAATACTGATTCAGCAAAAGGGGAACATTTCCCCCATCTCTAAACTTCTTTTCTCATCTGACTGAAGCTGGATGCATGCACAAGAATTTTGTTGGACCAAGACTATTGTATCTGTGACACCAGGTCAACCTGTGGCTCAGGCAGTCGCTCATGCACTAAACTTGCATGGAAAGATGCTGGAAACCCCATAAGGAAACACGTTTATAAGCAAAACGACAGTATTTCTTTTTTCCTCATGAATTTAACATTACTTTCAGGTACAAAGGATGAATCTACCCTGTCTTGACTTTGTTTGAAACAATAGGCTTACTTTATTTGTGTTTCACCCAGTTCCACTTTGTATTTTAATGACAAAAATGTGGTTTCTACCACATTTTTGGGAACTTACCCACTACCAGGACCCTGCCAAAATGGTCCAAGCATGGACACCGAATGACTCGTCATTTCCATCCCTGTGCCAAGAGACAGCAGCAGTGCCTGTGAGAGCTGGTGAGACTGTAATGGCTGGGAAGGAAATCATTCCCAAGGTGTCCTTAGGAAAATGATGAGAGAGGCAGGCAGTAATTTGACATGAGAAAGTATGGGAAAGCCGGAATGGGTGCATCTGTGGCATTCAGGCAGGGCGTTTTTTGTCATCATTGGGTTTGGGGGCATTTTTAACACCCATATGGAAGGATAATGCAGTATATGGATGGCAGTGAATATAAGTGGCTTGAAAACAAAATAAACAAGCACTTGACCAAAGACACTTTGTGGATACAATTGCTAATCCAATCCAGTGGAGATGGGTTTCACAAGGGCCTCCTCTTGTCCTGAAACATCTTATTCTCCTTGTTAAAAGGCATTTAAAAGAACAAAATACTTTTATTAAAAATGCTTTTCAGGGCTAAATGACGTTAAGAGCATTTTCTATAGCTTGCATTGCTATTTAGGAGAGCATGTTATTTCTTTTTAATTTGCTCACTCATTCCTGAATAACTTTTCATAGGACTCCAGACACTGCAGTGTGACAGCTAAACCAAGGAGCATCGGATGCGATGGAATTGCTCTACAAGCAACCTTGCCAAAGGCCCTTTTGCTGCACAAAGCTGGCTCTATCTTTGTATATTGAGGGAGCTAAATCAATGTTAAATGCTTGGCTCTTTTCACAGGACAATGACCAGGACCTAAGCTTCGTCCTTCCTTTTTGATTGACACTTGAAACGTTGAGTTGGAATCAGCCAGAGGCACTGCTACAAGCTTGAAGCCTCTGCTGGGGATAACAACTGGTGACATCTGCAGAAAGGCCGACAAAAGGCAGTTGAAAGCCGTGTTTGTTGCTTTCCCCTCTCAGATCTCCTCTCTTTCATGGAGCTCCTTACTTGCTTTAATATTATGATTCAGCACCTGGCTCTTTTGAACCTTGCTTTAAACTTCAAAAGGCGAGGTGGTATTAACAAACATGAAACGAAAAAGTGGCAGTAGTTTGATTTACTGTTGTCGTCTTATCAAGGGGGTTTTTTGTCACCAGCTGCCACTTTCTGTCATCTTTGGAACCATTATCATTTCTCTAAAATCTAAAAGACTCCACTTAATAACAGCTTTGAATACAGGCAGGATCAGTAACCTATACAGTTCTGGGATGACAGAACCATCAAATGACAAGAAAGATGTTGCCAAAAAAAAAAAAAAAAACAACCTTTAAAAAAAAAAAAAAACCTAAAAAAAAAACAACCCAAAACCCAACAATAAAACAAATAAAAAAGCTGTAGTACTTCTAAGTGACCTTGATTTCAGAATTAAACAAATCACGCGCAATTCCATTGTTCTTGTTGGATACGTTCTGCACTTTCCTTGCAACATTTCTTTTTTGTTCTCAGGACTAAGGGAAAACAAAGCCAAGGCTTCCAGAAAAACTGCTCAGCACACAACAAGCACTTGGTATCACATGAGCACTGTAAGCTCCTCACTTGTAAAAGCGCCAGTGATAATTGCCAGTCTTGTTTCACTGCTGTCCTAATGCAGCAGCTTTCATTCAGCCTGAGATGGAGCCCTGAAAGCTGCTTCGCTAGGGCAGACTCACTGGTAGAAAATCTGTTTAACTCTCACTTTTACAGCACTTTTCCATGTTTCTCGGCTGTCTTTCCCAGTTTCAGAACCTGAAATACCCCTGCGCCTTGTCAAGTGGGTTTGCCCATCACTGCTTTCCAGGTTCAGGTAAAAGCAAGCAAATAAATGCAAACAAGTTTTTGACCACAAACCTACTGTGCTTTCTTTCTTGTCACCTCACTGTCCTCTATAGGAAACTCATCCTTGCCCCTTTCATTGGTTGTTTTATAATGTCATAAATGATGAACCTACTAGGAAGGAGAAATTCCTCCTGGTACCTTCTAAACTCATAACTCATTTGATGAGCATCTCATTACCAGCACTGACCTTTATCTTACAGAGATTTGAACCTTAACTTGTGCTTCTGTGCGTTTTGGTAGTCGCTTCTGCCTGTGCAAAAAGAGTGAAAATTGCCAAGGGGATCCCCTCTCCTGTCCCCAGCAAAGTGTTTTCCTTCCCACTAGCTATGTGCAATGCAAGGCAACAGGGAAAAGGCTGCTCCAAAAGTTTTTCCCCCAGCACCTCATTGGCCAATCTCCCTGCCACTGCCCACTGACCCCTTTCCAGACCCTTTTCATCACAGGAATCCGTGGTAGTTTAGTTTCAGCATCTCTTGCTAAAATGAGAATGAAAACAACAAAGTGAGAATCCCCTGGACTGTGAAAATGCTGACGGAAAAACACGATTGCCAGAATCCAAAGTTGATTTCTTTTGGATTGGGATATGACAAAACTCATACAAAAATGAGACGAGGATTGCTAAAAATACCCATTATCTTGTGAAGGAAGGCTCACTGTATAATCACAACGAGGTTTTCTCACAGAGCATGTCCACATTTGGAATTTTAGTCATTTTAACAAGTGTTAATTGCCACATGCTAACTAGCAGAAGTGTGTGTGTGGGGAGATGTTGTATATTTATTTGCTCCAGACTTGGAACATATTAGAAAGTAGGCTCTATTCCAGTTTACTGTCGTATGAATGAATGTGTTACTCAATTACAAATGGAAGATATCACAAGAAAATGTAAGTAAGGATCTTCCCCTGATATATTCCTTTGATGAGGAAACTCAGAATATATTTACCAGATCAGGTCAAGGGGAAATCTGGGCTTGGGCCTATTAAAGGAACAGGAACAGAAGCAATGTGCCTGTGTAGGGTGGAGAACAAGAGAGAGGTGGGTTTTTTCATTTTACCCATGAAAACCAAGAAATACTAACAGAAAGAACACGCATGGGAAAGCATTGGTGCAGTTGGATCAATGCCCCTAAAAGATTTAGGATGAATGCAGAACAGCTGATGACCATATCACATATGTACACATATATATCAATATAGGTATAATATACTTGTGCAATTCAATTACTATATGGATAGTATATCCAATCATATATATTTATAAATTTAGCAACATATATGTATTTTGAACATACAGGAGCTGAATTTTGGCTTTATAGTTTCCTTGACAGATTTTGGAAATGAGAAAAGGGAGATTGGTATTTTCTTAAAATCACTGATGACATAATCCAAGATAAATATCTGCCAGACCAAGAAAACTGAGAGCATCAGAAGAACGCAAAGGCGTAACCCCCACGTCTGATTTATACCTCTATAGTCTATAGAAATTGCTTAGGATAAATTTCCAGAACAAGAAAGATGCGCAGCATTAAAAGAATCCCAGGCACTCTACCAGGAGGTGTTCAGTGCTTAGAACAAACCAAAAAAGGGGACTGGAGGGTTACATGGAATCTGTGATGCAAGATGGAAACTACTGGTGTTGGAGGAATACCTTCAGAAGGAGCAGCTTGCTGTGTGGAAAGAGTCACAGAACTGGATGGAAATGTCCCACTAGCCTACATTTATTTCTAGATTAAAAAAAACCCATCAGACAACCAACCAAAAGCCAAACAGAAGCATTTCAAGGATTCAGCCAGATCCAGAAACTCTGATGTAAATTTGCAAGTAGTTTACTCAACATGCAACTACACCCAGGCAAATAGAATGAGAAAAAAGTAAGACATACAGATCTGTATGAATTAGCTTTCTACGTAGTCCTCTGCATACTTGTTTTTAGGAGAAGCAGTGAATGGAGATTGTTTCTTCAGAGAGAATGAGGATGTGGATCTGTTTCAAACTCATGGCATAATATAAAGTATTTTAGAAAGAAATTACTAGAATAAATATCCTGTAAACCTGATTGGATTGATAGTAAATACATAAGGAATGAGATTAATAACTGAGTTCAAGTATATATCCAAAAAGAGTTATAAATTCTTCAGAGGGAAGTCATGCACACAAACCTGCCAGTTTTAAAGAGATCGCAAACTTAATAATTTGCTTATTATTTAGTGGGTTTTCAAAACTCTGCTCATAACCTTCCTCACTGTAAATTCCATTAAAAGAAATGTAAGGAACTTCTAATGTGGTTTAGTAAGTGACAAACAGATATGAAATAAAGGCTAAGAGCAAGTAGAAATCATCATTTTAATGGTGGAGTGGAGGTTACTGATGTGATTTGAAGAGGACTTGGCTGTTCTGTACATCCATTAATCATGGGGGAAAGGTGCGAACTCCGAAATAGCAATACTTTCTGACAGAAAAGACACTGGAGAGCTGCAGCAAAAGCTGACTGAAAACTGCCAAAGAAACTCACAAACTGAATGCTGGGGCTGGGGAAAGGCAGGTGAAATTCAGCGTTGGTATTCATAAAGTAAACAGGAAAAAATAACTCTGAATGCACTGTTGTCATTCATGGAGGAGATCTTGGAGTTGTTATAGATGCTGTAGAGTCATTCACCGAAAAACCTCAATTCAGCACTCGGTGATAGTCAGAGAGAAAAGAACAATGTAAGGAATCATTGAGAAAAGAGGTGAGATGAATGCCAGCAACAGGGGGCCACATCCTGAGCTGAGAGCAGCTCTGCTCTTCTCCTCCAGAATAAAACCCACAAGTGTAGGAACAAAACAGTGTGAGGAAGGACAACAGAGGGGAAAACAGTGAAGAATCTTTTGTCCTGGAAAATGCATAGGTTTAGAAAACTCTAAAAAGTACAAAGAAGGTGACTATGGGATAATGATGATTATTATTTCCCAGAACATAAGAACTAAGATAACCTGATGAAGTGAGAAGGCAGCAGAATCTAAAGGAATTACTTTAACATGCATCGCTCTTTTAAATCTTACAACTTATTCCCAAGTGATGCTGTAGAAGCCCAGGGTATAAATGGCTTCAAAAAGCATCCTCACAGGATGATCTCTAAAGTGAAGACCTTTATTTGTTCTTTTTTTAACAGTTATCTTTGGACAGTTAATTTGTCCTTTATAAATATACCTTTAAACATTTATGAGTGTTAATACGTTAAACTGCACTGATTTTATCATCTGCGATCTTCCCTGTGTCTATATTTCAAGCAGCAATTACCCTTTCTCAAAATTTGCTTAGAGAACTTCAGCTTTCTTCGGTATGTATGAGAATTAACTTAAGCCATCCTTTGGAAACTGGAGTTCTACCTAGCTTTGACTGGGTTGCATGGGTGATTTAAGACTGTCCAGTCTTCAGTAAATGAAGGGCATAAGTAGCACATTTTAAAGGTTTTTTTCTGACACCAGTAAGTGTTTGCAGAGTTGAGTTATAAAAAGCCATATTCTATAATAGCAATAAAAATGACGATGCATTTACTTTTCCAACTGCTTATGGACGGTGATGCTGTTGATACTTTTCCTTCCACATATACCACGATATTAATGGAGCACTAAACTCATCACCCCTTCTCTCAGCTTCCAGGCTGCTGCAGACGTGGCTGGGCCAGATGAAATGAAGGGTTTAGATACCAACGAGTCAGGAATTTCAAAGCCCGAGCTCACAACAGTGCATTGAGAGGTCAGTGCTCCAGGAAGATGCTCTAAAACTTCTGCTCACCGCTAATAAGAGTATGAAGCATGTGTTTGCCTGAGCTCTACTGCCATCTCTGCACCTGAATACCCCTCCTCATTTCAAGACCTGGGTCCCACCCTAGAAGTAGGCACCTTCACAGTTTTGTGACAAATATCTGGCCACGAAATGCAAGATCTTTGTTCAGTGCATTGCCAAAGTCAGTTCACATCCTCATCCTGGGAAAGGGTCCAGTGCACCAGGTTATAGGCTAATGTCAATTCACCAGCATTCCCCCTAGGGAAAGGGTGCCAATGGGAAGAAAGGAAGGCAAGATTTGTGGGACTAGAGACAAGCAGGCATAGAAGTACATGGCTCTCCTTCCAAATGACCGAGGCTGCAGGGAAGAAGAGAGATGTTCTGGATTTTCTAACACTGCTTAAGCATATAAATTCATGGGTTAAGACAACAAGAAAAATCCAAAAGACTAGCCCTGCACCTTCTGCCCCATCCTCTCCATCATCCAACATGTCGTACTTGTCATCTCTTCTCCTTTCACTGGCTCTGTGGGTGACCCCATGCACCATTTTAAGCATGGCATAAGCACCCCATCTTGAAACCAGGGAGAGAACACTAGTGTAGGTTACTCCTTCATCACTACATCATGGTGCAAGGGGACTGTTTTGGCAAGCAAATTGGATGGGCTAAATCCCAGCAGATCAGTGAGAGAACTGTAGGTTACTGCAGAAAAGGTA